CATCACGACTATCACCACAAACTTCATCATTATCATCACCAACATCACCATCGTAATTTTCATTCAACCGTTATTTCTACAGGTTAATACCATTGAGTCTCGGGGACTCATTTACAAGAGAGACCTGATTTTAGCAAAGAGTGATGACAACAGTGAACAACAAAGACAATTATAAAGGTTGCACACAACCTGAGAATAACAAGTGAAAATAAAATGGTATAAAAAAACCATCTTCATCTTCAGCAACACCAACAACTTCAGCATCATTACCAGCACACACATCATGAAGGACCCCACTCACCCAGCACACACACTTTTTATCCCGCTCCCCTCAGGAAGGAGGTTGAGGAGCATTAAGTGAGGAACAGCTTCTACTCTGAGGCTGTTAGACTCATGAATCTCTAACCAGAATAATCACTGTGAAAAATCACATCATGTTGCTGCTGATCAGTTTCATGTTGCTGCTGATCAGTTTAATTTTCAGTTTCTTCTCTAGGTTTTGGACATGAGACTTAAAGGAGAGATGTGAATTGACCAAAATACCCAAATATTTATAAGAATCGACAAACTCAATAGGAACACCATTCGTAGATAAAATAGAAGGTATGACTGCTGGTACCAACTTCCTGTTTGAAAACAAAATCCCTTTGGTTTTATCAGCATTTAGCACCAGTTTGAGATGGAACAAATCTGACTGGATGATGTCGAATGCAGACTGTAAGAGCTGAAAAATTTTAGCAACTGTTTTAGCTCGACAATAAACAACTGTTGTCAGCACAGAAATGTAAGGATGCATCAGGAATGATCTGTCCTGCATTACTTACAGTATGTAGAGTGTGAAGAGGGTGGGTCCTAAGACTGAACCTTGTGGTACACCATTGTTAACTGTCAGATAGCTGGAAGAAGTACCATTATGTTGATGTTGATGATAATTTAGTTGGTGGTGATGGTGGTGATGATGATGATGACGTTCATGGTGATGATGATTAAGTTGGTGATGATGATTGTGATGAAGTTGGTGGTGATGGTGGTGATGATAGTGGTGATGATGATGACGACGATCATCATCATTATGGTGGTGATGGTTTGACTCAAGGTGATGATGACTCCATGGTGATGATCACCACCACAACTTCATCATCATCACCATCATCATCATTATCCTCATCATCATTCACTCACTCACACCTGGGGACACTTAGAGTTCACATTGATTCCCAATGAGATGTTAGATTGAAGTAAAAAACTGGAGTAGGACCAGTTCTCAGTCAGACCTGGTTCATCATGGCACGGCTGGACGTTAGAGCGTGGACTCGTCTGTAGCGTCCCCTGCTGTATTTGTCCTGGATAAACTTTGACCTCTGCTCATCGGTTGACTCTGGATGGAGTTGCTCTGTTGCCGGCACAGCTGGTGCCCAGACCTGATTGGCTAGTCGGTTACCGAAGGTAACAAACAGCTGAGAAGAGCAAAGGGTTGGAGGTTAGAAACCTGAAGGACCGGTTCAGAGATGTCCTCCTCAGACATCTGTGGACTGGGGACTGGTATAATCAGATAAACTTGTTGAACAACTGCCACTGTTAATATCAGTAAAAACATTTTCCACACGTTATTATCAGAGTTTCTTTATTTGTCATACACACCTCATGTGGTACATGGGGTGGAATGAAATTATGTACTCAGGGTCTCAGTTACATCCAACAATAAAATGTAAAAGAAAAACAGCAATAAGATCTAAGATATGAACTAAGAAAAACATCAACTAAATATATACTAACAACACTCTATAACCCTCAGAACTGGCTCTCCTCAGGGATGTGTGCTGAGCCCCCTCCTGTTTACTCTGCTCACGTATGATTGTGCAGCTACCCATCCAGGCTGTCACATTGTAAAGTTTGCAGTTGATACAGCGGTGGTGGGATGCATCACAAACAATGATGAGTCCAGCTACAGGCAAGAGGTGGAACACCTGGAGAGCTGGTGCAAAGAGAATAACCTTCACATCAATGTGAAGAAGACAAAGGAGATGATTGTGGACTTCAGAAGGAACAAAAACACCTACACCCCCCTGAACATAAGAGGATCTGCGGTGGAAGTGGTCTCCAGCTACAAGTACTTGGGTGTACACATGAACAACAACCTCAGCTGGAGCAACAACACCACCAGCCTGATGAAGAAAGCTCATCAGAGACTCTACTTCCTCAGACGGCTGAGACGAGCTGGTCTGGAAGCTCAGTCCTCACCTCCTTCTACAGGTGTGCAGTGGAGAGCATCCTGTGCTCCAGCATCAACGTGTGGCATGGAGGCTGCACAGCTGCAGAAAGAAAAGCTTTGCAGAGAGTGGTGAAGGCTGCACAGAAGATGTTGGAGTCAGTCTCCCCACCATCACCGACATCTACACCTCCAGATGCAGGAAGAGGGCCACCTGCATCATGAAGGACCCCACCCACCCAGCACACACACTTTTTGCCCCACTCCCCTCAGGAAGGAGGTTGAGGAGCATTAAGTGTATAACCACTAGACTGAGGAACAGCTTCTACCCTGAGGCTGTTAGACTCATGAATCTCTAACCAGAATAATCACTGTGAAAAATCCCATCATGTTGCTGCTGATCAGTTTCATGTTGCTGCTGATCAGTTTCATGTTGCTGCTGATCTGTTTCATGTTGATGTGTTCATTCGTGCACATCTGCTCACAGACTCATGTTCATGTTTGTGCTGATGTTCAATGTTTTATGTTATGAGTGCTTAGTGTATATTTAGTTGATGTTTTTCTTAGTTCATATCTTAGATGTTATTACTGTTTTTCTTTTACATTTTATTGTTGGATGTAACTGGGACCCTGTGAACATAATTTTGATCCACCACATGTGGTGGAATGACAATAAAGATACTCTGACTCCAAGTAGCATAAAAACAATACACCGAACAGCAGCACGAACATGGGTCTGTGTGAGCAAATGAGCAGGCATAAACACATCAACATGAAATAGATCAGCAGTAACATGAAACAGATCAGCAGCAACATTGAAACAGATCAGCAGCAACATGAAACAGATCAGCAGCAACATGAAACAGATCAGCAGCAACATGAAACAGATCAGCAGCAACATGAAACAGATCAGCAGCAACATGATGTGATTTTTCATTGTGATTATTCTGGTTTAGAGATTCATGAGTAACAGCCTCAGGATAGAAGCTGTTCCTCAGTCTAGTTATGTCTATGTCAGTTTAGTCATAATTAGACTAGTTATCGAGTCTAATTATGAATTTAATGTTGTTTATCAAACCTTTCTACAATGGTTGTGTCATTGCACTTGAGGTTATTTACTGCGAAGGACACATGCTATCGACAGGAGTATGTCTAAACTGAAGCATAAACTGAATTTTTGGGCTCTTACCTGCACTAGGGGTTCAGTCCAGGCCTTGCTGTCCATCCTCAGACTGCGTACCTTTGACAGGTTGCTGCCCAATGCTCGATGCTGACCTGAGAACAGCCGAAGACTGGACATTAGAGCTGAAGCTGCAGATCAGTTAGCTGCAGGTTTGTTAGCTACAGCTCTTTATCAGCAGAAATTTAGCAGTGTTAGCTCATAATGTACCTGCCACGTACCTGCACAGTTGTGGCAGATGACGAGCAACAGGTTGACCGAAGCCCACTCTGGATTGGGGGCTCCACAGTCACCGCACACCTTGTTGTATGGGTTCTCCCAGAGACGCAGCGCCACCTGGCTGCAGGAGAGAGCACTTTGGATAGTGGAGGATAGAATGTCCATCCAGGCAGACAGATCCTTGGATGAATCAACAGACAGGCTGTAGGAAGGGGGCAGAGTCACAAAGGAGGAATTACAGTTTATAAACAGGTGACAGGTAAAGGTGTAAACAGGTGCATACTTGAAGGTCTTGTATGGAGTGATAAGGATGAATGACTGTTTTCCCTTTGATTTCACAGTGGCCACGCTCAGGGGGACGGAGAATGAGGCGATGCCCAGTAGGAAGCTGTCTTTGTTGGGGTAAATCCACAGGTCATGACCCCAGACGGCAGCGTAGGCGCGATTCCGCGTGTCCTTTATATAGACTTGTCCATGCAGTTCTGGGGAGGCAGGACTTTGCAGGCCTCGGGTCGCTAATAAAGACTGGAGCCAACCTTCCCTAACCTCTGAAGGATGGAAATGACCAAAGGAAAAAAAGTCAGACTCACATTTGAGAAATGTTCAGCGGACAGGAAACAGGAGGCCCAGAAACTGACCAATCAGACACTGTCTGAAACCGTTCCATGGTGGGCGGGGGTGTGTGTGTGAAGTGTTCAACACCGTCCAGAGGACCTGACCTACATTTGTTGGTCTCAGGTTCTAAGAAACCGTCCAGAGAACCTGACAGAAAATCATTGGACTCAGCCTGTCTGAAACCATCCAGAGGATCTGACTGTACTTTGTTGGACTCAGCCTCTGAAACAATCCAGAGGATCTGACTGAAATTCGTTGGATTCTGCCTCTCTGAAATCGTTTAGAAGACCTGAACTAACTTTGCTGGACTCAGACTCTGAATCAGCCCAGAGAACCTGACCTAACATTTTTGGACTCTGCCTGGCTGAAAGTGTCCATATGACTTGACCTAACTTTGTTGGAATCAGCCTCTATGAAACTGTTCAAAGGACCTGATCTAACTTTATCATTATTATTATTATTATAAAGTTTATTCATTTTTTGCAACAAAATAAAACAATTCAATAAACAATAAGAAATACAATCAAAAATAAAATGAAAGGCAGCAGAAAGAAGAAAAAATCTCATGTCTGCCCCTTTTTACCAAAAAATTAATTCAAACAATAATAATCTTCAAATAACAAAAACAAAATAAATAACTCCTTCTCGAGCAACAATTCATACAAATATATATTAAGCTATTTCATATTTTTAAAACAAATCAACTTTGATCATTCTCTTAAACATACACATTGATCTGG